TGAGGCGGACGACGAACGCCAGTCAGCACTTTGAAAGCCAAGTAATCTCGGCAGCAACGACCGCCAACGCCTGGTACCACCCCACTCCCCCAGGGTTTCCTCCTGAGCCCGCACGGCGACTGAGCCCAGCTGGCATTCAAGTGGGCAGCCGAACGGACTCGATTCTGGGTGGCGGGGATCCAGCCCGCTTGGCAACCGAATGGGCTCGATCCCAACACCATCCGACAGGCGGATGATGGCCTCGGGTGCCGAGTGGGCTCAGAAAGGGGGCCCTCGGGTTCTTTGGCCAGCAGTCGGGACGCGAAAGGCCGTTCGGGGCCGACCTGGGAGCCCTTCCGCTGGGAGTTGGTGCAGCCGCGGCCGCCGCCACGCGGCAGGCCGGCCGCACGGAAGGCGCGGAAGGTGCAGGTCGAGGGTGCGCCGCCCTGGGGGCCTCTCGGGCCACGTGGGTCGGGGGCGGGCGAAAAGGGTGTCTCGAAGAGGGGGGCTCGCAAATCATGGCCCCGGGCACGTGCGCGGACGAGGTGGGACCGAGAGAGGCGTTGCAAGATGAGGAGGGGGCCATAAGGTCTGGGGAGATATCATGGTCCCCGTACCCGTTTGTCATCTGAGCTGCCCCGATACGCAACACGCAACATGTAGCGCCTGGATGCCGAACTCAACACGCAGACCGAAAACGAAGGTCTGACGCGATACGTTACCCAACAAGTTGGCCAACACGTGGGGCCAACACGGAGCGCATTCACGCGGACGTTTTGAGCACGGCACGTGCTGCGTTTCAAAACGGGCGGATCGAGGCAGCTAACTCAGACCCCCGACGTCACGATTTGTTCATGACGTCAATCCCCAGAAATTTCGACCTATTCCCCGGGACCAATTTCTCATCCTGAGTCGTCTTTTGACGGTCCCGAGGCCGGTTAACGGCCCCCAGAGGCCGAAAACTGTGAACAACTGCCCGTCGTGATTTTTGAGTTCATTACTCCAGGGGGTCTGGGAAGCTTGGACGCCCCCGACGGCGAGGCGGCCGCGGAGATCCGCCGGGGCCGCCACGGGCGCACGCGCGCGCGCGCCCCGCGGCCGCTCCCCGCGCCTCCGATCGATCGGAGAGTGGGGATGAGGAGGAGGAGCATGAGGATGAGGATGAGGAGGAGGAGGAG